CCCCCGGGCCGCGCGGTGGGGTGGCGCCCCCCGGCGGCTCCGCTCACGGCCTTCCTGGGGGCCGAGGGGGTCGCGCGGGCCCGGCGCAGGGGCGCCGCGCCACCGGCCGCGCGGGTCCCCCGTGGCCGGCCCAGAAGCGCGCCAAGCCGCCGCTCCCGGGCCCCCTTGGCCGGGGAGCCGCTCGGGAGGCCGGGGGCCAGATGCGGGCGCTCGGCTTGGCCTGCCTCGCAGGGCTGTTGGGCGGGCGACAGCGGGGCGGGGGGGTGGAGCCCGCGCGAGTTCCCTGCTGGGGGGAGGAGGCTGGAGAAAAGCGTAGCGATTTATTCACACCACCTGCTGAACGGGGGCGGCGTCCCTGCCCCCCACCCTCTGGGGTCACAGGGATAGGGCGGGGGACTTACTCGGGGGCCTTTGAGCCTGCATCCAGTCCTGGAAGTTATTAGACCCTCGAATCAGCCGCGAAGGACCTTTGCGGCCCGATCCGGGCGCGCGGTTGCGCGGAGGGCGCCTGCAGGTCCACAAGGGGAGGGGCGGGCTGGGCTGGGTCCCTTCTGGGGGCGCGTGGGCCCCCGGCGCACCAGCCGCGCAACGCACCGGGGGGGGGGGGAGCGCGGGTACGGACGCCTGTGACCGCCTTCCCGCGGGGATATCAGCTTGCCGAGGAGGAGCCCGCTCAGCGCGCCGCGCAGCCAGGCGATCCTCCGCTGGCCGCGCGCGGCGCTCCGGAAGCGGCGGCGTCCTCCCTGGCGAGTCCCGCGGGGCCCGCGGCCGGGGACCAGTGGGTTGGATGCCAGCCCCGTCATCCCCGGGCAAGAGGATGGGAGGCGCAGTGCAGCGCATCCGGAGGGGCCCAGCTTGGGCAGGCTCGGGGGCGGCTGCCGATTTAAAGCGGCCTCGCTGCTCCCGCTTCTCGCCACCCTCGCCCCGGGACGCGTTTCCGATTGCGGGCACTCGTGGCCTCCATGAGGCGCGGCGCGCTGAAGGCGCTCCATTCGCAGGCGCAAGACGGCTGGCGGCGACCCCAACGCCGTTCCTGCGCGGCCCCGAGGCGGACGCTTTCCGGGCAAGCCGCGACGGTGAACGGACAAATGGCAAGCGGAGCCGGAGGCGGCCGGGGGGGGCGGGCCGCCCTCCTGCCCGCGGGGCCTGGGCAGCCCGGGGCGCCGGGAAGAGCCCCCAGCAGGCGCCCCGCGCAGCCCGCCCTTCCGCTCCTGCGGCGCGCGGCCGGGCTTCGTGCCCAGGCGCCGTCCCGGCAGCCCGAGCAGCCCGTGAGGGCGGTCCTGATCCGGCGCTGGGGAGCAGGCGGCCCCGGCGCCCGGCGGGCCCCCGCCGCCGCCCGCCCGCCGCTTGCCTGCGCCCGCTCCCCTCCTGGCCCTGCATTCACGGGGCCCAACCTGGTCCCCGGGCAAACTTTAAGCCGCGCCCAAGGCCAGCACATCGGGAGCCAGCGAGCCGGAGATGCCCCCACCGGCGGGGGGCTCCCGTCAGTCTAACCCGCACAAGGCTCTCTTGCGGTTGCCCTGAGGATCCGCGCCCCTCGCATGCGAGCGCTTGACTGCTTCCCCACGGAAGGAAGCCCAGAGTTGCGCCCCCACCCTCCCAAGGAAACGCGGTTCTTTAGGCGGATCCCAGTGAGGCCCGGCACGGGTGCAGGATCCGGAACGGATCGGACCCTTTGCTCCCGCCTGCTCTGGCTTTTGTGCTCCTTCCATTAAGTGCATCCGATCTTTGGGCCCTCACGGGGCACCGATGAGTCCGCGAGCATCAGGAAGGCTCTTAGCCCCCCACCCCCGGCCAGCCCCTATTTTTAGTTGAAAGCTCACAAGCCCCCAATGCATCCAAGGCCCACCTCCGCATCCAGGTGGGCGACTGCTGCTCCGGCAGAATTCACCTTTCAAAGAAACAACATTGGATATTTCCCTTCATCCTATTGAAGTCCAGGTTGCTTGGGCAGCATTAGTGGAAAAAGAAATGCGCGGAATCGATGTAAAGGGGCTGCGAGCTTTGCCAGTAATGGCTCTCTGAGATTTTTAATTGAATGGAACCATCCTCCGGAAAGGTCAAGGACCAGAAGTCGTTTCCACTCTGCCGTTTGCGTCGCCGTTAATTGCTCTCTCTAATGGCTG